CTATTGAAGGTGAGGGTAGAGAAGGCACTCTCTCAGCATCGCATTAACAGGGCTGCTGCCGACCCGAGGCTTTAATAATTCACACTGCTTCTTCACAGACAGAGGTCCTGACCCAGAATGGATCAAATGTTTTATTGTTTTGCTTTTTCAGGCATATTTTCTGAAGATTGTTAAAAATTTTCTTTTTTTTTTTTTTTAAATGGGATGTATTTTATTTGTCTTTTACCATTCTCTGGGAAAATGTATCCCTTCTTGCAAGCCATTGTAACTTCTATGACACTTTGAAAAAGTGAAAAATGTTATTGAAAAATACTCTGCTTGGAAAAGATCCAAAGTCCCTCAGTACATTAGCAAGCTTACCCACTCCCGGTCGACAGTGTGAAGTTGCCATGATGACTATAATTGTTAAATGGCAAAGGAAGCTGAAGACTGAAGAATTAGACAGACATCGTAGTTATTCACAGAAATCATAGCAAGGGCCATAGAAAAAAAGCAGTCATTTCAAAACCCTGTGCTGTCCCAGCAGGGTGTGTCATGATAGAGCAGGTGATGAAGTTGTTTGTCCGTGCCCTCCACTTCTTCATCACTTAAAAAACCACCTTTTAAACTTGTTTGTTACAACCAGTGAACCTTATGCTTGGTTAGGTAAAACCTGCCCTGCACAGCCGCCATCTGCAGCTATTTGTAGGTGGCATGGCTGCAGCAGGAGGTGGTGGGTAGTTCTGGTGGGATAAAGCTGTGAACATTTGGGAGGGAGCCAACAGAATAGGGTATAAGAGCTCCCAATCTTGTAAATACACAATTACGTAGTTCTTTTTTTTTCCCCCCACAAATTAGTTTCCTTTACTCAGTAGTATCTAATGGCTCCTTTGAGAACGTTACTGTCTATTATGTCAAGGCCCCTACTTAGCGTATTTTTAGTTTGTGGATCATTGACCCGCTCGAATCCAACGGTGCCGTTAAAGCGTCCGCACACAGCGAGGCTCCGCGGGCGGGGGGCAGCCGGGGAAGCTGGGGTCCCGCAGGGTTCCTCTCACCTGCTGCAGCCCCACTGCAATGGATCCTAGGGAAAGGGAGCTCTTCATACCCAGCAATTCCAGATGTTGATAATAAAGAGATTAAAGTGGGAGTTTTTACTGTTATTACACATTTCTAGACTAATGCTATTTACTTTTGTATGCACTAAAATTTGGGGGTTTTAAAGGCAAGTGCTTTATGAGAAGGTGATTATTGTGCACGTGAGGCTATGGAGAACTTCAGAGCTCTATTAATGTTTCAGGAAGGTAGGCAGGACAGTAAATCAACGTGTCAAGGAAAAAACTCAGATTATTATCTATCTAATCTGCCTCTACTGTCTTCATCCCTCCGTATCTGAACACCTGAAAGCTATTATTAATGTACTATTTATTACTGTGCTTATATGCTTCTATTATGAGCATGGTAACTTTCTCATTTATCCTCAGCCATGATATTAGAGCACAATACATTTGTTAAAATTGGCTGCACCGTGCCCGTATGTGTACCTGCTAGATGCATTAAGGTGTACCTGTTGTGGAGGTAATTCTTTTCCTTTGGAACTAGCAATAATAGGATCATGTGGGTACTGCTAGCAATATAACTCTAGTTACTTGCTAATTTAAAGCAAAGTGCATTAACCTGGCGTTATGTATGCCCAGGATATTTAACAAGCCCACAGGATGTGTGAGGAGCCTGGGCCAAAGGAATAATGTCACATCCCAAGAAAACCACCAGCTCCTGAAAGAGCAGCTCATATCTATGTTTAACATGCAGAAGTACAGCAAGCCAAAACTCAGAATTTTGTCCTTGGAATGACTCCCACCCACAGGGTACCTGAGGGTTTTTGTTTTTAACTCAAATTGAGCACTACAACCCAAATGTCCCCTGGTTAGCCTGTCAGAAAGTGTGGGATGAAGGCGGTGGGCTGGTGATGCTGGAGCTGGCAATGCGGTGGGAGCTACAAACAGGTGTCAGAGACTGACCTAATCTGGTCAGTTGTCTTGCTGTGGTCACTCTCACATGAATGGGCCTCGATGGCCTGGAATAACTCCAGTGTGATAAGGATGCTGACAGGCACAGTCTGGTGAAGCTTGGCACGTCATCCTAAGAAATGATCACTTCCAGATGTTTGCTCCTCCTCTTTGCCATAAGTTATCCGGCGTTGTAGGTTAAAGCCCCCTTCATCAACAACTGAGGTTAAAATGGTGGATTTGGTAGTGAGGTAGCTGTGGCATTGGCATGTGCTTCCTTTCGACAGAGGGTAACCCCCAAACAAGCAGACAGCTGGAGGCAGTAATTTCTTATATTGCCACAATAAGATCTGCCAAAGCTTATCTTTCTGTACCCTAAACTGTGGCCATAAATCCCGTCCCATCAGAGGGCGCTCAGCATCCCTGCCCTGTGTGCTGGTGCCGGTGGTGGGGAGGGAGCGGGGTTTGGGGTCTCTCCTCTCGTGCCTGCAGTGCAGGGGAAGAACAGAGATGCCTCAGTTTCACTAGGGAAACGCATGGGTTTAAGGACCAAGGTTTACCACGTTATCAGCTTGAGTTAAAATCAGCATCTCCAGCTAATGACAGAGCTTTCCCATGGTACAAGTAGATTGACATTTAATGCCAGGTAGCTGAGCAACCACATTTTCCCGATACAGGCTAAGAGACAGAGGTCTCGTGCTATCTGAAGGCGAGTTTCAGAGGAGCTGATTTTGGTGGCAGACACCCCATCTCCTTTTCCATCTGTGCATTCGCCTGCCCCTGGTTTTGCCTTTTGGTAGTGCTGATGCAGTTCCTTGTGGGATCAGCTGTAAATCAGATCTTGGAGGTAATCCAGATGAAAAATAACTCTTTTGATGGTTTATTTGTAAACCGGTTCAATTCAGTGATCTGTTTTCCAGCACAGCCGCAGGTTATGGCTTCAAAATATGAAATATTTGGCTTTTAAATGGTTCCCATATGACTTGTTTCCAATATGACACAAGTATTTGTGCAACCTCGCCATGAGCTGGCATAGGGAACTGGTCTGACCTCAGAACAAAAAGTAAAATTAAAATAACTTTTTTGCAAGGTTTTTTTTAAAGTCAGGCCAGCTCTCTGATGTGACTTTCAGCATGGCCCCATGTCCGTTTGCAGCAGGAACCAGCAGCAGGGAGAAATATCCCCAGTCGCTACTGGGGCTGAACGCTCAGTTCTCCAAAACCCCATCCTCCCTAGCACAGCGGAGAGGGTGCCAGTCCATGGCAGAAATACGGAGCCAGTGGTAAGGAGGGAACTTCTCAAGTCCATTTTACCACCAACGCAAAGATATTACAGAAGCATACAAAAAAGCCAGCGTGCGCAGCTGTCCAGTATGATGAACTGGCCGACGTTTGGAGGCTCATTCGATGCCTGCCACGTTTCTGTGGTGCTGTGCAGGGATCCGAGCATGGTTCAGCTCCACATTACGATTATTATTACTATTATTATCTATTTAGTGCTACAGGGATAATGATAAGGTGAAGACAAATTAGCTAAAGCTGTAAAGTTAATGCTTAGAAACTGAAAGTACATTAAATTGCAGCACAAGCACTTTCATCCATGAGTTTAAGGCAACTCAGCTTATGTGCTGTAGTTTTACAGATTTATTTAATTTTCCATAACTTACTTTACTACTTCACTGGCATAGTCTACCAAACGTAAATTTTCTGAAGAAGGGACTTGTTTCGCTTTTTGTTCTGTGTCTGGACATGACCTTCCACAGTGAGGCCTTGGATCCTCGCTGGGTTCACATGCTCTACCACAATATAAATAATAAATCCACTATGAAACCTTTGACCGCTTAATGTTGGAATGAAATGAAAACATGTCCCAGTCTTTTTTAAGTGCTTCACTTTCCAGGGAGCAGAAATGCTATTTTCTCTGTTTAGAAAGATCTCTTGCATTTATGCAGTATGGCAATCAAATGTAATTTAAACAACCAGCTATTAATACTATTAATTCTTTTTCTTCTCCTTCAGATCTCCGGAAAACTTTTGAGCAGGAGCCCTTGGGGAAAGAAGTGTCCCTGGAGCAAGAGGTCCTGCTCCAGTGCCGTCCCCCTGAAGGCATCCCAGTAGCCGAGGTGAGCAGCAACAGCAGTGTCCTGGCACATGGGCATCTTAGCTAAGGCCTGATCGGTGGCTAGTGGTGCAGTGAGTTAGGGCATGGCGTGATGAATGGGTGGTAATGGAGAGCGGACTGACTGCTGCTCGTAGACAAGATTGATCAGGAACTGATTAATGGCTTTGGATTATGGTGCCTTGCTGGGCAGAGCTGCAGGAGGTTTGGTTTCAGGTTTTTTTCCCTTTCAAAAATCACAGTTATATCTGGCGTCCAAAGGACAAGTAGCTGGTGGAGCATATTAATACCAGCCTACTATCTTTCCTTTTCCTTTTAAAGAAAAAAACATTTCACTTATTCTGAAAGGCACTTTTCAAGCATAGTATAAAGGCGTTTTAATTTTTAGTTTGCCAGATTATATTTCCCTCACATGTTTGTGCACGCGCTGTGTGTGCACCAGCCAGCCAGCTTGGCACAAGAGGATGTACCGTGGTCCGGTACGGGCTCCCAGGTGGAGCAGCATGAGGTGGGGGGCAAGTAGTGGATGTGTCTGCCTAATAATCCATCTTCAGGGGCTTGCCTGGTTTTCCTATTGGCATTTAAGCAAACCCGGAGGGGGTAGCCTGCCCTCCAGCCGGTGGGAGCGAGCCTACCTTCAGCAAAATCTGTGCCCACCGACAGCAGCGGGTGTCCCCATGAACAGGAGCCTGCCTAAGTGCGGTGGTGGCTCCAGCTTCAGCCTCATTGCTCATGGGAAGGGGGGTCTCTGAGTCACAGGGGGGCCTCTGAAATCCTAAATCCTCTGTGGCTGTTAAGAGAAAAAGTGATTGTTAATGACGGTAATTCCCCTATCTGAATTCTCCTTGGTTTTCCTCTGCCATGCACAGAAGAAACTGTTGCCAATTTGCATTAGGATAAGTTAGACTGTCATGGCTAAGTAGCAAAGTGGTTGTCACTCAGCACTGATGACTGATTTCTCAGGAGATGAAGCTTAAAGTGTTACCTCCCCATCTAACCCAAGTTTAGATTTAATCGGAATTGCAGAAACGTGTCCACAAACATCAGAAGGAATAATTAGCATAGAAGATTTTTCCCATTTTCTTTTTCCGTAGGCTGTTTTTTTTCCCCGTTAAGATCCCCAAAACTGTAAAGAGTATTTAGGTCTGCCGAGTCAGCTGGCTGACAACTGTAGTGTTAATCGGTTGGCTTTCCTTGGGAACTTAGCAGCAATTTTTTATTTTCCTTTCTGATGCTTCTTCGCATCAAATCAACTTGCCATTGTGCCATGACAGGAGTGTTTGCAACGGGATATGTTGTTCAGGAGGTGCAGGGTAGTACTGGGGAACTTCATTACCTTTGCTAGAAACAGAGATTGATGATGACGGGCAGTTTGTTTGAATGCAGTATTACAAGCACCTCTGAAATTTCAGCAGCCAGTCCAGTTATTCCCTCGGAAAGGTCTGTAATACCCAGTCGGGCAGCTGGGACCCAAACATCATGATTTAACATGATGCCTGGAAGTGACCTCTGAAAAGATCCTCTGTGTGCTGCTCTCATAATAATTGCACTTTTTCCTGCCTTCTAGTATCCTGGCTCACTCTGTCAATAGCCGAGATTCATGACTGTACCTTAACTGGCTCTGAATCTTATTTGTACCGTGGTTGGGGCAGACACCAATTAACACTTGGCAGGCTCAGAAATCGTATACTCCCTGTCTGACATTCAAAAGAACTGTTCTCAATGTTGGGTTTTTTCCATTTCTGACTTTTGAAGTCAGAAGGAGATCAAACACCCAGATTGGACAGCCGCCTAATACAGCCTCTTTGTAGATTCTTTCCAACACTATTAAAAGAACAAAGACCTGAACACTAATGAATATGAATACCTTAATGTGACACTTTATTACAGCCACTTGCTGAAGCTGGTTAAGATAAATTTAAAAAAAACAGAAAGATGAAAGGTAAATTGCTGGGTTGAAGGATTACATGATTGTTTTAATTTAGAGATGAATGAGTTCTTTGTTTAAGACTTCATTTATTTGTTCGGAGAAGTTTCTGATACGATGGTACAGGTAACTAAGTAAGAAAGGACTTGGGAGAAGGCAGGCAGCAGGCTGAGGCTATATTCCATCTTGTTGAAAGACTGCTTTGATTCCAAGTAGAGTAGGGTAATGCATGTGCTACAGCTGTGAGCAGCATTTCCAAATGCTTTGGTGAGCATGAACCTCAGAGTCTTCCCACTCTGGGCACTGTGTTTTGTTTTGGTGTTTTTTTCCACTTACTGGCTTCTGAAGTAGTCACTGGATTTAACACCAGCACAAAGGAAGAAAAGCTTACGCTGTGAAACTGTACAAAATACACATTCAGTGTAAAGTAATGCTGGAGTCCAGAGTCCCAGCATCTTCCCCTTGCTGTTTCTCTTTGATTTCATTCTCCCCCTTCTTTTTGTTTTTTCCTGGTATTTCAAAGTGGTGGAAACGACCATGCTCAGGGATACATTCTGTCCTCTTTTCAGTAGCTGGGGAATTTAGTCTTACAATTCCCAGCATATTTAATTGCAATTAACTGTGTCAAGCTCTTATGGATCAATGCTAGAGCAGATCTTACTACTACTGAAAAGCTGAACCACACAGCAGCATACAGCTGCTCCAGAGGGCAAGAAGGACAAAGACAGAGATGGGCAGGCAAAGCTTTTAATGCAGCACTTACTGGTCCCTCAGATCCACCAGGACATGAGAAGCATTAGGGTAGGCTCAGATCACAGCCACTAGAAAAAAAAAGGCCAAGATCCAAATAGAAGAAGGTGTGTTAAAATACACCAGCCTCATGGCCTGAGGTCAACTCAAAGTACGTCTTGCTTGTTCACTTGGGACAAAGCGAGGAACCGAGGGTTTGCTTGGTCTCTGGGAAAACCAGATCAGTTTCTCTGCGGCCATATACCCCTGCCCAACAGCCCCAACCGGCATCGGTGCCAGCTGCACCGTGGCATGGCTCCCCACTCCCAGTTTTATAGCCAATATCAAGCTAAACCTACCTACAGGTTCTGAAACACCTGGGTAAATGTTCTGTCTTTTCCAATGATTGGCCCAGGCATGCAGCAGAAGGACCAGCGCAGTCACAGTTACACTGAGGTTTCCACACACAGCTGAAGGGTGAAGGGGCAAACTCACATATTCCTGCTATGGAAAAAAAAAAAAAAAGGAATGGCCGTAAAAACAAACACCACCCTGCCCTGGCTCCACGCTCCCCTGCCTTCTGCTTTTCGTCAATGCGGAGCAATGGGATAAGGTGGTGAGATAAGCAGCCTGACCCCCGCCCCCGCCAGACTCGGCGGGAGCTGCTGGTGCTCAGTGGAAATCAGGCAATTGCAGCTCCCTGGTGTCAACAGAAACATCCATTTCAATTCCACTCTCTTCTGTGTGTGGATTTTTTCAAACCTAACCTGAGAAGGCAGGAAGGATCCCATTCTGTGATGCTCCAACAGTAATGGCAGAGTTATTAGCAATTAACCCCTTAGCTCATTTAATTTGTTCTTTGAAGGATGCCAGCTTCGTATTGCATGTGATAAAATATAGTTAGAGACACCGAGTCACATCAGATTAGATCATTGTGATAGGTTATAGATCAAAACATCAATGAGTTGTAAGATTGGTTAATATGCCATAAGCTGCCAGACGAACTTTTGCATTGAAATGTATGATTTGCAGCGCCTTTAACAGGGGGGTAATTGCTTCTTTAATTATAATTGTGGTGTTTCACAGAGTAGTTTAATTGCAGAACAGGGTGTAATGTACAGTTTGGTGACCCAGCTGGGTTTAAAACTGGACGTGATATTTATCCACATTCATGGCTTTAATTAGGAACTAGAGCAAGGGGAAAAGCATCCCCGAGTCAAGAGGTAGAAGAGGTGTTTTGCCGAGTCAAGATGACTGTGACACAGACTTTATTCAGCTGCTCTTGCACAGACAAAAGCTGGTGGAAGCTGGGGACTTCTCCAAAATAGGCAGCATCAGGTGGCTGCTCCTTCTAATTGATTATTAATATGACTGCTGTTTGCTTTGTTTCATGAGAGCCACTTATGTTTTGCAGCAGTTATCCCTTAATTGGGAGTTCATGTGTATGCATTTCCATGCAGGTGTGTGTCGCCGAGGCAGTGTTTAATATTCCCGGCAGGAAAGTGAGCTCTGAGAAAGACGAGTAGAGAAGTTTGTGGCCACAAATACTAATTAGCTGGGAAGTGGCACTGTCCTTTGCAGTGCCTTGCAACGTACGGCAGAACTGCCTTCGGGTGTCAATGGGAGAAAGAGCGGGGAGGGGGAGGCGGGTCTGTGTGCAGAAGGAGCACAGCCCAAAATGAATGAGGACTGCTCGTTCATTTTGCCCTGGAGAGCCATTGGGTAAGGTCTGGCAATGCAGGCCTGTCCTTCTCCACAAGTACAGGATAAAGCTCCCCGTAACTGTCAGTGTCTGGTCCCATACATTTCTGTTCCTTTTTACATACTTTTTACATGCCAGTCTACTGGTGGGTGGTCAGGGCACTCTTTTGAGAAGCATGAGAGGTAGGTTACAACCCCCTGCTTGAGGATGGGCTTGCATTTGGGTCTTGTGCTTTCCTGGGAAATACACTGACTGCTAGCTTATTAGGTGGCCTTATTTTCACATTACCTACCAGTTCATTTCCACAGCATGGAAACCCATGCCGAGATGCGCAGATGTTCTTGCAGGACTGAGTTTTTTGAGACCTGAATTTTCTATGGGATCTACCCCTATACTTTTCCTTTCCAGTGCAGTTCCATTGACGCCGATGGAAGTGAGGGCAGAGCGGGCCCCTAAGTGAATCAAGTTGCAGTATGATTGGATCTGTCCATAGGCAAGGATGATCTGTAGGACTGGAGAACGGTCAAGTTTCTAGATCCTCCATAAAATACTACAATGGGAGGTTTTCTACATGAACCCTGCTAGCTTATCCTCTCTACAGCTTGCTTTTTGCAGCAAAGATGGCTCTGGGATGCTGGTTTAGCTA